TTCAACAGTGTTGTTCCAGTGTGAAAATTTCAATGATTAGAATGATTGGATCAAAAAAATAATAATTTAATTATCTAGTCTTTGCAAGATGATCCTGGGTAAATGCCTTGATTTTTGTCAATCTTCGTTTTCAGAGAGGAGTCTGAGATGAGTATCTTAAAAGGTACCAAATTCGAGTGGTATGAAAGTATAGGGCTATGTATTCTTTAGAAAGGTGGAACAGTATGTACAATAAATGAATTAAATGTGCGCTATTTCCATGGGTCCTGATTGCTTTAACCACCTATGAGTCTATGATTTTAATTTTTTAAATTTCAGAATCAAATTGGAATCTGTAACCTGTCAATAAATCAGTCTTATCAGTAACTGTTACAGATAATAGGTGGACATTTATAGCAAACCATACACAAAATAATTATCTAAAAAGTTGGACCTCTTGAGCTGAATTATAATTCTACTTTATGTGGTCCTTTAGTGATGAATGAGTCTTATATTTTGAAGAATGAAAACTACTCTATGTTGTCCTATGGTAATCAGTCTTATATATTGAACAATGTTGCTAGACTCAATTGCACAAATGAACATCATTACTTTAACAGAGTTACCTTGGGAGGCTGAGCTCCTTTATTTATATCACATTACTTAACCCAGGGGTCCCCAAACTTTTTACATAGGGGGCCAGTTCACTGTCCCTCAGACCGTTGGAGGGCCGGACTATGCAAGATGTAACACCTTTACAGCCAGCGCTGCTGCTTCCACTATCCCGGACAGTGGTATACGGTGTCACAGGCCCAGCACCGCCTCCAGTGCTGTATACAGGGATGGCGGTGATCAGCCTGTGACACTGTGTATACAGCATCCTGGACATCTGCAGCAGCGGTGGGCCTCTTCTGTGGGAAGCCCACCGCTGCATGTTTCCCCTATTATAAGACACCTCCTAAAAATCAGACAGCCCCCATCTTTTGGGGGTAAAATTAATATAAGACAGGGTCTTATAATAGGGAAACATGGTGTGTAGTAATGTGGGGGGAGACTTTTGGGCAAAGGGAGGTTATAGGGGCCATTATGTTGTTGTACATTTGTGGGAGTCTGTGGGCCATTGTACTGTGAAGTAATGGTTATAGTGCTTTGCCTTTCTTCCTACTTCTGCTGTTATTTCACACTGCTTCCGGTGATGTGGGACGCCGCAGCCGCAGACTGGATGTGCATCATATGAAGCGCTTCCGGAGCCGTGACGCGTGTGTCCCGTGTCACCGGAAGTAGTACTGCACATGAGCGACACTTTGTGACGCCGCCACATACTGTGCTCCTCTCACTGACCACCAATGAAAGAGGTACCCCTTCCTGAAGTGCACAGGGGCCAGATAAATGGCCTCAGGGGGCCGCATGCGGCCCGTGGGCCGTAGTTTGGGGACCCCTGACTTAGCCTACTGTTTTCCACTGATGCTGCCCTATTAAATTGGAGGTAAAGTCAGGGGATTGTAGAAATCAGGAATCTTTTTTCCTCAAACACTGGTTTGTGTGTGTGTGTGTGTGTGTGTGTGTGTGTTTACTTTAAATCACTCTCACTTTGATTCTGAACCCCAATTATGTCTTACATTTTTTGTTCTTTCTTTCACTTTCGCCTTTTCTTCCTCTTTCTCTTCTTTCAGAAAGAATAGAGAATTTAGTGTTGGCGAGACCTGGTTTGGACTTCGTTTCCCCTCACTTACTAGTAATATGACATTTTCTCTCTGCACCTGAGTTTCCCTTTGTGTGCGCGCGTGTGTGTGTGAAAATGGATATAATGCCAGTTGTCTAATTTCCTCACAGAGTGTTTGTTAGACCACGTAGGAAAACATCAATGCTTTGTAAACCATAAAGCAGTATGCAGATATAGACTTCATGTCTTAATGAAGACACAGAGTGGTGGGTGAAAGAAAACATGTTTTAGGCCCAGATTAATCTCTATTCAATTCCTGCATTTGCCACTTACTAGTTTAGTGCAATCTTAATTTGTAAGATGTATATGTAACATCTAATGACACATCCTTCGTGATTGCAATGATGACGTAGGTAATCTTTATAAATCTTTGTGAGATAAACAGGGGTATCTTTTATTCCCATTTCTTCTTAGATGAAACAATTGAAGCCTAACGAATTCAAGTAATTTGTTTAGGGTTATATAGGTAGTCAGTGACATAACCAGAATAAACTTAGTATCAAATGTGAGGGTTTTTCAAGATGTGTCAGATAATTTCAAAGAAGGAATTCCATATATGTTTGGAGCACAAAGTATACATTTGAAATATATATGTGTATATATATGAGATCCATAGAAGAGTTACTTTGAAACATTCAGATTTATTTGTTCTTGTGCATTTCTTTGTTAACCACAAAAATTGACCAGTTGCCTTATTTTATTTGCAACTCGTACAGATTTTAAACTGTAGTCTTATATTAGTGACCTAGAGGAAGGGAAAAACCAATTGGCTCCCTTTTCAATTGTAGTGCTAGGTGGCTCATGAGGCCAAAGTATCACTATTACATGTGATGAACAATGAATATTACAATTGTAAAAATGAGAGTTGATGGCTCCAATCATGTATTAACTCAGGACTTATGGTGGGTTTCACTTCTAATTTCATAAATTCCATTTGTCTGCACTTTTTTGCTCTCTGTGTTACGCATGACTGGTAATTATATATTTTCCACCCTGTGGAAACTTTCTTGATTGTCAGTACATCTTCAAGGGCATAATTATGATATATTAAAAAATAAATATGTAAATTATAATCACTCACATTTTTCAGACTATTGCTAATGATGCTGATTTTCCTTTAAATATTGATTGGTACTTTCTTGACCTGGGATAAGGGTAATCATATCTAACTTGTTTTATTTAATATACTTTTAGTTTAAGTCCAGTTATTGCAAGGCTTGGTATTGATCCCATGACAAGGAAGTAGTTTATGATTTTGCTTGGGAAAAATATTATTTGGTTAAATTATGTTGAACTTCTCAAAAGTTTTAAACAGATGTAATGTATAGTGGAAGATTATTTATTTATTTATTTATTTTGAGACAAGAGTCTTGTTCTGTCACCCAAGCTGGATTTCAGTGGTTTGATCTTGGCTCACTGCAACCTCCACCACCTGAGTTCAAGCGATTTTCCTGCCTCAGTCTCCTCAGTAGCTGGGATTACAGGCGTGCATCACCACGCCTGGCTAATTTTTGTATTTTTAGTAGAGACAGGGTTTCACCATGTTGGTCAGGCTGGTCTGGAACTCCTGACCTCGTGATCTGCCCATCTCAGTCTCCCAAAGTGCTGGGATTACAGGTGTGAGCCACTGCGCCCAGCCTATTGGAAGATTTTTAACGATTTGTAGACTTATAAAATAAGTGATTAGCAAAGGAAATTATGATCTTGAGATTTAAGTGTTTCTAAAAATAAAAAGATACTGTTTAAAAATAGTGAAAAATATATTTTGCCATACCTTTTGTGCTGACAGTGATAGAAGTTCAAAGTTGTTACACTGAAACATTTGTGTTAAAAAGCAATGCTTGTACCTTTTTACCACATTTGTATCTTTTTATATTTTATGTCCATCCTCCAATTTTGATCAGATTTCCTCCATGTTATTCTTTCAATAGCAGGCTTTTATTAGGACTTTATCAGAGTATGGGACTCAGCATGGTAGATAGGAGCCAAAAAATCAAAGCATAATTGCATGCCCAGTTTCTGACCACTCTCTGAAATAAGTGGAAACATTCAGAGCAAGGACATATTCAAATCCATGACACAAATTTCCTTCTTATGTACCTTACACATGAACTGTAAGAAAACTGTATGTTTAGATATTTTTTAAGTCAAGGCAATAGATTTATATTATTTGTCACTGTAGTCAATATTATTAGAGTAATTGTTTTTATTTGCATAACACCAGTGAAGTTTACTGAAAGGGCCCATTAAACTACGAGCATAACTTTGAGGGAATACATGGAGAATGTCTTGTCTTGCACAATCAACTAACTTGTACACACATATGTTTCTTATGGTCCAGGTCTGGTTTCTTGCTCAACTGTGACCTGACTATTCTCTTTAGAGTATGGCCAAATAATATAGCCAAGAAGTAAATTCAGATTCAATTAACTGTACTCTATATCTGGAATGAGCCAAGTATTGAGTGATATGTACTCAAGTACACTCTATCCTGTTTCCTGGAAAAATTACTACTGGCAAATGTTTTACTCTCAAAAGTGTTTTGATTTACATGAGAAATGACATGTTAGCTTATCAATTAGGCAAGTAGTGATGGTATTCTTTTCTTCTTCATTTTCTTTGTAAGTGCTAAAGACACTGGAATTTTGTGACTTTGAGTAACTATCCCAAAGACATAGCTACTTACTGTCAAACCTAGAATTTACCCTAGGTGTTTTGACTTGAAAAGCTTTTTTTTCCAGTTCGTATTTGTTATTTTGTTTTTACAGATATAATCTGTAAGTTTGTTAGTTTTTTAGATTTTATCTGATTTGTCCTGTGCATATTTATTGTTAAGGATGTTTGTTCTATTTCTCTATCTTTCTCTTTTTATCATTAATTTTCATTTAAAGCATTAATAGAAATTGAGATAAAATGAACCATACCAATTGTAAGCCATCTCCAAATGAAAATTATTAAAAATGTTATTACCAGCTGGGTGTTGGACATGTTAAAGAGCTGGGAGCACAACAGTGTGACCAGTTTCACCTTATAGAGAGACATATAAATTTGTCTTGAATTAGCCAGTCTGTGTCAGAGGCTATTTTACTGATGCTCTGATCAGTGCTTTTGGACTGATCACTCATAATTGAGCCAGATCTCATATATAACAAATTCAATTATAGGAAAAACGATTGTAATTATTTTCCTATTTACTGTCAACTCTGAAAATCAATGTGTGCTTCTAGAAATTGAGATAGTTGTTAAGAATAAGTTTTGTTTATGCTAAGTTGTAATTTTCTTTTTCTGTGTTGGCTAGATTTTTCTAGATATGACATTTGGTTCGGGAGGACACACAAAAGCCATTCTACAGAAGGAGTCAGATATTGTTCTGTATGCCTTGGACAGAGACCCGACTGCTTATGCATTAGCTGAACATCTTTCAGAGTTGTATCCGTAAGTAATACCCTTGTATATTTATTAAATTTTGGTTCTGAGTTTTACAGAGCTTGATTTACCACCTTGGAATTTGCTCTGCTTTGCATGGGCTATATGTTACTCCATTAAATATTTTCTCTTTTTTTCCCCAAAAAGAATTAATGTAAATGATGATTTTAGTACCATTTAAAGTAATGCTATTTTCCAATTATCCCTTCTGAATCCGTATAAAGAAATACAAAAATGACTTCCACCTACAAGATTGAAAATGGTTGGAATCCATCTACAAATAATATTTTGACAATAACTCGTGGCCAAAAAATAATTTTTAAATATTTTTATGAGTTCATTTCTTAGAATTTAGCAAAGTAAATATGTATGTGAGAATTCTGTAGAACTCATGGGAACATATACATTAACATAATATAATTGATTCCTTTGAATTTTCTGAAATTCACAAGTAAATCTAGAGTGATTCTATCTTCTTCTATCAGAAAAAGTCAGCTATAACTAAAGAACTTTTTCAAAATATAAAATATTATCTGAATGAGTAGTGAAATCATCTGCCTTTAAAGAAACATTTTGAATTAGGGAGTAGAGTTAACCTGATATGTTTTATAAAGGCATCATCCCATAAGAGAACCACTTCTTGGAGCTAAGATGGCTCTCTTCAAATACATAAAGGACTGTTTTCAGAAATGGGAAGTGGTTTTATTCTGTTCTTTATCAGAGACTGAAATCAAGAAAATAGATGGGAATTTTAGAGGTAATTTTAACTTGATGTGAACTAGAGTTTTCACTAGTTGTAGCTGTTCAACAACAAAATGGTCTCTGGTGAAAGTTCCAAAAGTATGGCCGGGCACGGTGGCTGAAGCCTGTAATCCCAGCACTTTGGGAGGCCAAGGCGGGTGGATCACAAGGTCGATAGATCGAGACCAACCTGGTCAACATGGTGAAACCCCATCTCTACTAAAAATACAAAAAAAAAATTAGCTGGGCATGGTGACGCGTGCCTGTAATCCCAGCTACTCAGGAGGCTGAGGCAGGAGAATTGCCTGAACCCAGGAGGTGGAGGTTGCGGTGAGCCGAGATCGCGCCATTGCACTCCAGCCTGGGTAACAAGAGCGAAACTCCGTCTCAAAAAAAAAAAAAAAAAAGTATGGCAGTGGAAAACTTTAATCAGTCACTAAGAATAGAAAGTTCAATTCATCATCTAGAATAGTACTTACATCCTTTTTCAGGTCCCAAACTCTCTGCAAATCTAATGAATGTTAGACTCTCCCCATATACCTCTTCCCATAAAACTGTAAATATATACACATATGCTTTTATTTGCAAGATCACAGGAGTTATGGAGCCCCTGAAACCTACCATTTGACCCTAGATTATTTCATTTCTTCCAAGAATAATATGAAGATGTAGTTTAATGACATGGTACTAATTTTTAATATTTTAACTCAGTCTGTCTTCTCCAGTGTAACTTAGATGCACCTTCTTTAAGAAGAAGTTTTATGAGAGCATTCACATTTGTGAAACATTGTATGAGTTCACTGGATTATGATGTGAACATTCATAAAGTATAGGCCTCTTTTATACAACAGTTTTTTTTATACAACAGGTACAGTTCCTTTGTACCTGAGGAGAAGTGGATACCAAAATTCATGTTTGCTCAAGTCCCTTATATAAAATGGTATAGTATTTGCACATAACCTACACACATCCTCCCATATACTTTAAATCTTCTTTAAATTACTTATCTAATACAAAGCAAATGCTGTTTAAACAGTTGTTATACTTTATTGTTTAGGGAATAATGACAAGTAAAAAAGTTTCGTACATGTTCAATATAGATGTGCTTATATTTTCTGATCTTCAGTTTGTTGAATCAATTGACGTGGAATACACAGATCAGGAGGGCCAGTCATATTTTGCTGTCATAGAAAAATAGAATTTTCCTAAGATATTGTTGTTTCTTAAGGCAATGATTCCTAATTCAGTTGTTTCAATGTCTCTTACTCCTTTAAACACCCCACTTTCTCAAATGGAGCTGAAAGTTTACAAATATTATCATGTGTAATTTTTTTTTTTTTTACTTAACAGGAACTATCAGACTATATATTCTTTTCAGTTTATAGATGTGGAAACTATTAGCCAGATAGATGAAGTGATTTGCTAAAAAGCATAAGCGACTTTATTGGAAGAGACCTGGGACATACATTCTACTCCCTAGTCTCATAATCTCATTGTATTAAATATTACTGCCTTGGCTTAAATCTTGAGACTTTTTTACTTCGTTGACAAAATGATTTCTTTGTCGAACATAATAAATTAGAAAAGAACAAGAAAACAAATCAGAGTAAGCAAAGAAGAAGGAATTAATACAGATAAAAGCTAGAATCAAGGAAACTATAAACAAAAAAAGAAAAAAAAATAGAAAGGATAAACAAATCCCAAGAGATCATTCTTTGAAAATAGCGAAGTCACTTTTGAGCCTGATTACTAGATCTAAAATGTGTGAATAAGATTGAGAGAGAAGACTAACCATAGACACACATAAGTTCATCATAAGATTATACAACTGCAACTCTGGTAACTTATAAAACCTAGATAAAATGATTGATATTGATATCCTAACAAAATATAAAATTTGATTAATATTTATAAAATTTGAATGTCATTATCATAATGGAAATTAGAAGATAACTGAAGTCTATAGAAAAAAAGCCACCTGACCAGATGAATTTGCAGTTATCTAATTGTAGAAAAAAAAAAAAAAAAAAAAAAAAAGCAGTGCCTATTACACTAATTCTGACCATGGTAAATTTGGAAAGTTATTTCAGTTAATATTATGAATCTAGCATAATTTTAATATCCATCTTTTTTTTTTTTTTTTTTTTTTTTTGGAGACAAGCTCTCACTCTATTTATTGCCCAGGCTGGAGTGCAGTGATGCCATCATAGCTCACTGCAGCCTCTATTTCCTGGGCTCAAGTGACCGTTCTGCCTTAGCTTCTCAAGTTCGGACAACAGGTATGCACCTGGTTAATTTTTCATTTTTAGTAGAGATAAGGTTTTCCTGTGTTGCTCAGTCTGGTCTTGAACTCCTGAGCTCAAGTGATCATCCCACCTCGACCTCCCAAAGGACTAGGGATTATAGATAGGAGCCACCATGCTTGGCCTAATACCATATCTTGGTAGAGACAGTATAAAATGGAAAAAAGTCTACGTTTGCTGAAGTATAGAAATACAAAAATTGAAAAGGAAATACTGATATATCTAATTCACCTGTCACTTAATTAAAACAGTAATACCTATGACCTAATGAAGTTTATTTCATGAAAACAGGACATTCCATTCCATGTCAGGCCTTAATCAATGATAGATTGATAAGCATGACAAGATCAGCTGGCTATTCTTATTAAAATTTCTGTTAAATATAAGGAAACTAACTAAATGTAAAATATTCTCAATCAAGGACAAGCAGTAATTATTTTCCTAAAATGTGAAGTACTATAACTATTTAAGACAAAATTAGGATGTAAATAGGATTTAATTTCTATAAATATTATTTATCTACATTTTTTCAAGGTCTGATAAAGGCTAATGAAAGGTTAGAATATTCTTCTTATAATGATTTACTGAAGAGTTCAAAACTCAAAATGCTTAAAAATTAATAAGATGATAAGATGGTTAGATAAAAATTTTAAACTCTATTCAGAACAGAAGAACTCTAGGGACAAAAAGGAAGTAATTTCTTTCTTTTCCAACATAAGGGTCACAGTTGATACCCCTGTAACAAAGAGAGGTTGACAAGCGAAAAGAATAGCAAATTTATTTGATCAACTGACTGAGTTGGGGGGACTCAATAAGGCTCTGTATGCAGCATTCTTTTCTCCTGGGTATGAAGGTAGGACTCCTGTGGAATGAGTGTCTTAATTTCATTATGGCCATCTACTACAGAAAGAATGGGGTAGGTTAGAGTAATATTTTAGGCTTTGAAGTTGGCTTTGGAGAAAAGGGGTACTGGTTTCTATGACCCAACTTGGGGAAGAGGGATTCTAGTATCTTGCCTCTGAGGAGAATGAGAGACAGGAGGTAAAGAGGTGATCAGAAGGTAACTTTGCTTCTAAGGCTGCTTCCTAGTCCTTCATTTGAGGGTATTGTTTTCTCAGCCCCCAATAGTACCTAGAAGGGGAAATGGGGAAAAATAGGCTGTACACAAAAGCAGCTAAAATTATATATTTAGTAATAAATTTAACAAAAAGCACATTTCCAAATGAAAGAAAACTATAATCTTTTTGAAAGGCACACAAGAAGATTTGAACAAAAGGGAAGACATACTTGTTTTGAGGTAGAGATAATTAATATTATAAAAAGAGGGTGGAGTGAAGAAGTTTATGTCTGTAACCCCGTCACTTTGTGAGGCCAAGGCAGGAGGATCTCTTGAGCCCAGGAGTTAGAGACTGGTCCTGGCAACCTAGCAAGACACCATTTCTTGCAGAGAAATGGTGGTGTGCACCTGCCGTCCCAGGTACTCAGGAGGCTGTGGTGGTACTAGGGAAGTTGAATTGCAGTGAGCTGTAGTTAGCCATTGCACTCCAACCTTGGCAGCAGAGCAAGATCCTGTCTCAAGTTGGATGGATGGATGGATCGATGGACGGATGGTTGCAGGATGGATAGACAGATGAGAAATAATATAAATAAAAAGAGTTAATGCTCCAAAAATTCATATATGCATGTATTGTATGTGTATATTGTTTTTTAAATTTGGGTGATGTGATCCTTAGTTTATATGGGGCAAAAAAGTGACAAGATGTTTTTTGAATTAAAAAATGGAGGAAACCTGCCTTACCAGATGTCAAATTATACTATAAAATCATTGTCATGAATCGATAAAACATTGATACAAGAATGGGCAAGTAGATTAATGGAGAAAAGAATCTAAAAATTGAGTCTGCTAAACAAAGGAATTTAGTTGGATAAATTATTTTAATTCATTGAGAAAATGGTGGATTATTA